TGAGCAAGAATATTTTCATCAATAATCAATCTTTCATTTCTTAAACAGAGCTATAAAAAAAAAATCCAAAATACAACTTCACTACTAATAGAAGCAAATTAATAGCATTATTCTACAAGTGTATATTTGGGCTCTCACTACAGTCATCAGTGAAATTCACTCACAATTAGTAATACCTCAATCAGTACAGAGTTAAGCCTATTGGATTTAGACCTCTCTTTTGGCAATCATATCTTATTTCGGAAATATACTAATCCCTATACCAAAGGTAGTAATACCTCAATCAGCACAGAGTTAAGCCTATTGGATTAAGACCTCTCTTTTGGGAATCATATCTTACTTCGGAAATATACTAATCCCTATACCAAAGGAAGAACATTTTGTGGTATATGTTCCTCATAATTTCACAAAAGTTTTAGTTATCTACTATGTTGGCTTTTACAGTCGTGTGTCGTCTTTGGTCATATCTAGTAGTCTTCTCCAATCTTCCTCCAAAATTGCTTGCTGTGATGAGTTGGTAGTATAATCACAACATTTGTATCTAGCTGTTCCATCAAAACTGTAGATGTACTGTACTGTACTTGCACGAAATCACCAAGAAAGTGAAACTGCTGAATTTTGATACATTTAAGTAACTTAATGTTGCGGTATAGTAACACATAGTCGTTACCAATGCGTGTAGAATCCAAGATCTGCGGAAGTGTTTTCCTTTCGAACTGTACCATACGGTATACTATGAGAATTGTAGAGCTTGATTTCAGTTTACCAGTAAAGGGTTTATTTACTTTATTTACTTAGTGAACTTAGTTTCAAGTAGTATCTTTGCGTTAGCGTGATTCTTTGAAAACTATTTAGATGCACATAATTTTTCGTTTTCATGATTGTTTCTAGTTAAAGAAAGTTTTTCACAATTTCGAACTTATAGTTGTCAATAGTTCCAAGATGTTCAGGATATTTGTTTGCTAATAGAAAGTATCTTATATATTAGAAGAGTATATTTGCTTAGATTGTTTTTGTAAAATGGTTGGAAGTGTACTTACAGCCTTGACTAACAATCTCAGTGCCCTTGGTTTATGCCAGTAGTATTACACTTTAGTCCAAAATTTTGTCTGCTGCTCGAATTATCATTTTCAACAATAAATCATAGAATTTATGTGATTGGTGTCAGCGTTGTTATAGCTAGCCGAAGCGTGTGTTAGAAATTAGTGATTAATGTGAGGTGAAGTTTGTACATTCCGAGAGATCTTACATCATTTTTGTTGTTGACTTGACTTATCTGTCAAGCTGGATTATTTTTGGTCTTGACATTGACCCACCATATTATAAAAAATTAATATTCAATATTACCTTGGTCTTTGGGATCGACACATCATATTGCAAAAATGTTATATTCGATATTAAATACATAACATATATTCAATAAAGACGAGTGGATATTATACAGAGAACATTATATCCTATGAAGTACTTATTATTATTAATAAATTTTAATTTGATTTAATAACTAGTAATTAACTAAGCAATATAACACTTTTATTCTCAATTATCAAAAAAATCAATGATAGTGCATATCATATTATTAATATCGGTATGTGTGAGAGGCACAAATTAAATCTTTTTCCATCAAAACAATAATAAAATAGAATTTTTTATTGTTATTTACGTAATATTTAGTGAATAAATTTCATAAGCAACAAAAACTTGAGAATATTTTTTATTATTTGACAGCTTCCCAGTTAAGACAATAGTCGACAATTACAATATCCACTTCCATCGCAGAAATAACGATTCCACTTCGAAAAAGCGAGCACGTATTTGTTGCATGTCGGATCCGTATTTGCAGTGCGCCGATCTATCGCTACCCGTGGTACCCGTCGGTAATGGATGCTAATTGGTTTGTGCTGTAAATAATATCGTTTGAGTTCACATTTAAATAATTTCAACGTACTTGAGGCTAAATGGCTCACCACACTTCGTCAATTGACTTACCGGTCTCAAGTAAAAGCGATTATAAATTGGCATTGCACACGTTCATTGCATTACATTGCCGCTTTTCAGCAGTTAATGAAAGCGTTAAATCTTACAGATACAGCAGATACAGATACTATCAAATTCTGCGGTAGGTGGATCGAGTAAGGCAAAGAAGCAAGTTTAACAAACATTAATTAAAGATCAAAAAGTTCATATCCAAGTTGGCAAAAATGGCAATAGTGGCAACAGTGACAATATTTCAAGCTCATGTTGATGATAGTGATGATAGTCCGAAAGACATCATTAACTGTTGCAATGTCATCATTTACAATTGAGATAATATTTTTTTTGTTTTTTTCATTCCAGTTATATCTGGTAAATTTTTTTTAAAATTAAAATATATAGCTATTACTCTGACTGGTGTGCCTTTTTATATTAATAAAAAAATGTTTATATGCACATGAATAAGTGGTTTTGTTTATAGGAATCTGCGTAGTTTCGTTTTTTACTACAAGCACTTGATTCTGAATAAACCATTCACTTACTCGTAAATGCCTTACCATACATTGTAAACAACGAGATACATTTCTGTAGTGTAGAAAATATCAGATTTCGCACTATTTTGCGTTTTATACGGTGATACTTTTTATCTTGTGCTTCTTCCCAGCAATCTTTACTGTAAGTTGCAAAACTGAAAAAAAATGCATTGACGTCAATCGCTTTTAATTTTAACCCCCTCCAGCTTGACAATTACCAGAAGCTTATTTGCACGAGGTCAATTTTATTATGACTATGGTTCTATATATACGAGTAAATGTACTTTTCTGTTTTGTTTTTCCACATACACACAATATGTATCTTGTGGTGGTTATCTATAGATAAGTAAAATTGTATATTTTCTTATTAACAATTAAGTAGGAAATTATTTTATCATTTATATGAGCTGAAAAATGCATGAAGAAAACTAAGGCTCATCTTAATCATAAGGTCTAATAAAATAAATGTATACCAACACTTTTTTAAAAAAAATGATTTTTCTATGAATAAAATTTTTAATAAATCTTTCATTAGTCGTAATTTTTTCCTTCAGAGTAGCAATAAAAAATACTCGCAGTTTACGAAAGAAACTATTTGAAGAAACAACAATGCTCTTAAAATCTTCAGAAGGCCTTTTCTTTCGTAAGCATATCACAAAAGAACAACTGCTTATTTTAAAAATAACATATAAAACAACAACACTGCAGGCTCATTTAGTCCAACATTTTTTTAAAATCGCTTAATTAATAAGTAGCTCAAATGACATGGTTGCCAAGATTAAAAATTTGTCTTTTGTGAACGATTTTTGGAAGTACCTACTAAATTTCCAGTTAACTGTCAACGAATGATTTCGTTAGTTCTTCGTATTTCGTGTCATCATTGTTCGTAACGAACACATTACTTTTTCTGTTTAATATTTTACTGTTAAAAGGCATGAAAATTCATGTTTTATTCACAATCATGTAAAAAAAATATTCTTATCAATAATTGCAAAGAATTATTATTCATTTTCGAAATTGTAACTTTAAATTTTATTACGTGTTTTACATATATAAGCCTAATCAAATCTCCATTTTGTTCAGAGTTGCCATCGAAAGTAATGCTTATTTTATTTGTTCTTTTGCGACATGGTTATAAAAGAAATGGCTTAGAGTTAGGTTTTACTCGCAAAAAATTTTACATCTTAAATTTTAGTGCAGCCAAATTCAAAAATCAATCTATTGTGAATGTTCACTGGAAATATGTTGCAAAATTCCAGTCATTCGTTTAAATCATATGAATCAGCGTTTTACAGTTGGTGGATGCAGTGTTAACTCGCATCAGAAAACATAAAAAATCATCGCACAAAAATTTATATTATTTAATTCCATTTTTTCACTTCGAGAATATTCTAACTCCTTTCCCGAGGTGGGAGTAGTCCTTTATTGACACTCTTAAAATAGCACTTCGCATATAAATAGTTTTTTTTAGTGAAAGTGTAACATTATTTCTTCTTCGGACATGACAATGTATTTTGACAACTTTGCTTAAGCGAAGAGAAAAAAAGTTACTTACAACTGTTTTTAAGGTATTTTAATTAGTGATGAAATAAAGCAATTTTTCCAGCAAAGTTAAAATGTTTTTGCTTGACAAAATGCGAAATTAAATAAACATTATGATAGTTAGTCTAGCAACCAAATATTATATAGGATGTCAAGTCTGAAGTCGTAATAGGATAAACTGACAGACTGACATATATTTATTGCTTTTATTTTTGTTTTTTAAATTATAAAAACAAAATAAATTTAAAAAAGTTAGAATGAACAAATGAGAGATAAATGAGCGGATCACATAGGGTCCAAATCGTTTGCTAATTCTAACTAAATCTAGCGCCAATAAATATGTAAATTTGATGTTAGTCCAGCCGTAACATTCGACTTCGGACTGACAGATAATAAGCTACACATTTCTTCATATCTTTGTTTCGTCTCATATAATTTACGGATATTTTGAAAACAAATGTACCGATTTCTTTCGATACAAATGTATCGATTTCCTTCTTTCTTTCAGAGAATAAGAGATAGGAAGAGAAAGCAAGAGAGGGAGGGAGAAAGAGAAATGAGTAGAAAGAGAGAGAAAGAGAGAGAGAGAGAGAGAGACAGGTGGGGAGAAAGCGAGAGGTGAGAAGAAAGTGGAAGAGAGAGGGAGAAACAGGGAGAGGTAGACTATAAGAAAATATGAGAAAAAGAGACTAAAGTTATCCCTTTGAAAAACTTCTTCAATTCTCAATCTTTCAATATTCTTTTGAGGCTACAACATTACGAACTTTGAAACAAGTTTTTAAAGATTTTATGACTGCTTACGATTTTAATTCTATTGTAGTCAGAATACATAATATAAAAATATAGAGATTTTATATGTCATATAGTAAACGTTAGTTTTTCTTACTTCAAATTTTGTATAAATAATTTTTTTTATAAACATTGTTTTAATTTTCAAGTAAAAATAATAGAAAATTTTTCTTAAGCCGTAATAGTTAAAATGAAAACTAATAAAAAAGTTGTAATAAATACTAAGCCAACCGAGCCAAAGCCACAACCAGTACCTGAACCTGAACCTGAACCTGCACCTGAGTTTTACTTTGTAGAAAAACATGTATTTCTTTACATACGTATGCATTCAATTTCATATGTTCCGGATATGGATGGTGATGTGTGGCTTGAGTTAACCCATAACAAGAAAGTGATAAATAAACTTGACGAGAAACATCCTTTTGAAAATACAGTTAACTTAAGTAATCCACCCAAAATATGGCCTACCTTCAGTATAACTGTCGTTCAAGATAATATTGATGAATGTAATAACTTTAGTGATAATCAATTAATGATAACATTGTACCATCGCCCATGGCTGCCCAAATATGAGTACGAAGAGGAGGAGGAGGAGGAAGAGGAAGAAGAGGGTGAAGAAGAAGAAGAAATACTACCAACACCGTTGGCTCAAGGTACTATAGATCTCTTTGAGTTTTTTCATAAGCGTCGTATATATAGTACGCAAAAGTTAATCTACTTATATGCAATAGATAATAATACAACTGACACAATCATTACTACGTGGCAAATATATTCAACAATTCCCTTGTTACCTACCTTAATATTTTCCAATGTTCTTTTTATGGGATTGGAATCAATGTTTAATATGCCTGAAGAAATTATGGAAAATTATGAAGACTTGGTATTGGAACTGTCATTTCAAGCAACTTATCCGGATGAGGATAATCAGTTCGTCATAACGCCTTTTTGCAAATACAGTTTCTTTGTTAAGGCAAATATAGAAGAGCAAAATGTAAACATGTGTTGGGAAACCGCAAAGGCTAAAAATAACATTGATTGTCTGAGCACCTATATGGGTCAAAAACTATCTCAATACATGATGTTTAGAGATTGGTTTGGTGAAGAGAATGCTAACTACGGCATGCAGGATATTATAGATAACAATGCTGTTGCCCTTATATCAAACGCGTTTCATCGTTTTATACTGACCACTGAAATGGCAATAGCCATAGAACAAATATTTGGTTTACAACAACAAAAAATCATTGTCGAGTTGTATAGGACGGATGAGCCAGAAAAAATTTTAATGCAAGGCATTCTAGATCCTACCCTGTTCTTGTATCCAAATATGACAGCATGTAAATTTTCTGTAGTTTTACGGCCCCCTAAATCTGCAACACCTTCTCCGAAACCTGCTCCTGCTGCCGCGAAGAAAAAGAAACCAATCGTTACTACACCAGTGAAGGTAAAGAAAGATGCCTTTGCTTTATTTTACGTCGTACTAATGGCGCCAATCAGCGATTGCAATCCAGAATTAGGCTTGTACAATTTAAGTACTTTCAAAAGGAACAAATTGAAGACATGTGCTTCTTTCATAAGACGGTTTGAGGCTTACGAAGTAGAGTTTCATCCAACTCCTTGTGCAATTTATAGGAAATTTTACGAATACATTGACTACGTGATTACTCAACTTTTAAAGAGCAATGCGGGCAAGTTCGAAGATACACACTCCTTTTTTTGCTGTGAAATGGGCAACATAGGTAATCTTCTACTAAAGTTGATAAGCTGCGATTTTAATAATCGTTATAAAACCAGAACAAATGTCGAATTCGCAATGTTGATGACAATGGTCTACAAGGAACTAGAACAACGTATTTATGATCACTTACAAACGGTTGACTTAGAATCTAGAAAGCGTAATCCTCGGGGATATTCAAATAGAAATCTAGTACTAATGTACATGAATAATATAAAGTATTTTCATGAATGTGGAATGGAAATAATTGAAAGACGACTACACGAGAGAATGGTAGATATCTTGGGAACTGATCCAGACTTACAGTTTTACGTTTATATCTACAACATGGAAATGAAAAATTTCGAGGATGCTAAAAAATATAACGAGTTTCCAGAAGAGCAAAGAATTCAAGGTTCAAGTTATATAGGTGAGTTAATTAAATTGTATTTACTTTATATGGAACATTTCGGGAAAGGTAATACTGGTCTGGAAACCTTGTTACCACCGTTATCAGAATTCGCAGAACAAAATTGCAATCAAATACCTGGATGGATATTACTACACTGCGTATATAAAAGGTACAAATATAAGCCTGGCATCGACTATACTTATTGGAGATTTGGTAATTTATATGAGTGGCCAATGGTTGAACTGCCAAAACTACCAATTAGTCTATGGAATATTTACAACAATTATCCGTTTACGTTTAATAGTATGAAAGGAATAAAATTTTACGAGACAATGAAATTATTTTTGGGATTAGGTTTGTTCAAATTTGCAGAAATGGTATTTAGTGAAGTTGCATCACAGCTTCCAGATTTCGACCGATATCTTATGACTACAACATTCAAGGTAATTTTGCGAGAACCTGATAAGAAGTATGCAGTTAAAAAGTTTCCAACGGATAAGATGATTAATGGCTTAGAGAAGAAGGCAATTCTAATGCATATCAACGGTTGTTATGAGGATATGCGAGGAAATCGTGATGCAGCTATGCGATATTATCGTGAGGTGTTGCAAATTCAAGATATATCCAATCTTGAGGATATTCTATTAAGTCTTTTACGTTACGCATTCATTAATTATGAACGTGGCGATCTTAACTCTGCAGTAAAGGCTTTAAAAAAATGTTCCGATTTACCTACTCTTCACCTAATAGTAAATATGTATGCGGGCATATGCCTTTATCGACTCAATGAATTTGAAGAAGCAATTTTTTATTTATCCAAAAGCTCCGAGAATCGTTTGCACACTCCGGATGTATTTGGATACCTGGCTATTATTAATCTTAAAATGAAAAAGAATTACAATGCACTTGAATGTTGGAAATATGCAACTATGGACCCTAAAAATCCACCATCTATGGACATTTATAATGAACTTGAAACAATCAGTTATAGAGACGTATGTCTTTTGGTGGAAGAGAAAAGAATGAAAATTTCACCATGTGATAATGAAAAATTAGAAGAAAAGCTGGACTTATTTATATAAAATGTTTTTTTAATATTTTTTTTTCAACTATAATATTGTGTTCTAATAAATATATTTTGTAAATTATTGTTGTTATTATCATAAAGATAGGATGTAACATTATATATTGAATATAATAAATTTATATTCATTTTGATGTTATGATTTTGATGTATATAATATATATATTTAATATATGTATATATATTTTTTTAACAAAGCTTTTAAAGCTTTATCTGTTCTTACACTTAAAGCTATCTCTTAGTGAAAGAATTACTGACTATAGCTACAATTTCAAATTTTTTAAATTCCGGCTTTAAAAAAAGCTGGTTACAACGTCCATTCCAAAGCTTTTCTTTAAGAGGTTATCAGACAAATGGCTTAAAATCATTGAGGTCCGTCAAAATTATATACATCATGGAGAGATTTCAACTGTTACATATTTATATATGCGCATTTTTTCTGCAAGACAGATGAACTAGCCAGTTAGAGTGTTTCAGAGTGTTGTTAGCATTATATAAATAATTATTGTAGTAACATATTGCTGAGAAGTTTTACAGATGTTTGCGATCTGTACTTAAATTGACACAATTTAAATAAGACACAATCTGCCAATCTCATTCAGATTTTTCGTCAAGACGATCTGTAAGCAAATTTAGATTTTTCGTAAATATGTTAGCCATATAATAGGTTTGCTATCGGATCACTGACGATTAGGAAACACTGCTAAGATACTGAATCTTCCTTTCAGTGATTGAATGGAAGACTCAACTGTGAGAATGATAAGAAAAGTGCTACACTAACTGGGCAAATCAAAAAAAGTGGCCACTTTTTGGAACTGCCCAACACTTCCATCAACTAGATTAACTATGCTTTGAATTTACTGTCGAGAGGATCTTAGTGCAGCAATACGATCTTTATTGAAAAAATATATTATATTTCATTTAAGGTTCCAAATGATTTTAAATCTTTTTTAGTTTTATAGAGAAAAACAATACGCCGTTATTACCTAATTTTCTAAACGAAACATTATCTCACAAAATTCATTTTAGAATTTTTTTTCCAATTATATAAAATACAATTGCTATTATAAAAATTACTTAATTTATTTAAGTTATCAATTAAATAAAAGTAATTAATTACTTGAGAATATTTTTTAAAAAAAATAATTGTTTTATAATTAACAGCCTTCAGGATGGCGAAAAATTCGAAACATTGTGCAATGGACACCATTCTTTCAAACATACAAAAAGCAGCGCTATCCTTGGGTGCAATTAGCTGGTCACCAAGGTAATTTCAAAGCCGGGCCAGAACAAGGCACAGTACTGAAGAAACTTTGTCCAAAAGAAGAAGATTGTTTCCAAGTGCTGATGAAAGATGAGCTTAGACCATTTGTACCGGAATACAAAGGACAAGTGACAAGCGAAGATGGTGAATGTAAGCCAATTAAATCTATAAATAAATTCATTGAATTTCTCAAACAAATCTCCTTTATTCTATACAGTATATTTGCAACTAGAAGACTTGTTAAGCGACTTCGATCAACCATGTGTTATGGATTGTAAAGTGGGTGTACGTACATATTTAGAGGAAGAGCTATCAAAAGCTAAAGAAAAACCAAAATTGCGCAAGGATATGTACGAAAAAATGATACAAATCGATCCCGATGCACCTAATGAAGAAGAACATAAAGCAAAAGGTGTTACTAAGCCTAGATATATGGTATGGCGAGAAACAATTTCTAGCACAGCAACATTGGGTTTTCGTATTGAGGTAAGTAGCGTTTAATATATAAATCATATTTATTATATCAATCAATAAACATAATATATTGTAGGGTATCAAAAAGAGCGATGGCACCAGTTCGAAAGATTTTAAGACAACTAAATCCAAAGAACAAATCAAGCAAGCCTTTCGTGAATTCATTAGTGGTTTTCCAAATTCTTTGGTAAGTTTGCTGGTTTTTAATCACAAATGATTAATTTTACTAAACTTGAACTTTCACTCGTCAGGCTCGTTATATTGAACGTCTTCAATCTATACGCACTACACTCGAACGTTCTGAATTTTTCTCCACACATGAAGTTATTGGCAGCTCCTTGCTCTTCGTGCACGATAGTAAAAACGCAAGCATTTGGTTAATTGATTTTGCCAAAACAGTTGCGTTGCCAGAAAATCACTTGATTAGCCATAGCAGTGCTTGGAAAGTAGGCAATCATGAGGATGGCTACTTGATTGGCATTAATAACCTTCTGGACTTATTTGCCGAATTGCAAGCTGAACTGAAAGCTGACGATGCTTCAACTCCCACAGATAATCAGAGTTCTATAAGCAACTCTTCCAATTCTTCCTCAGCATCAGTCTCTCCAAAACGCACAAGCGTTGACGCGAGTACTAGTTTGACTGGTTTGACGGATATCACTCCAACGGCTGAATATACGACTGACACTTTCGTTCTGGAGAGAGTTAAATTGATTAAAACTGTCGATACTAATGCTGTGGATCAGCAACAAAATCTTAATATATCGGACAATCGTACTGCTGCACCCACAGAGAATAAGATAGATAATTCAATGGACGAACAGCAAACTTTACAAGAACCTTAGACGCTTCTTTGGGTGGGCAAATTATTTTAATTTTTTTATTTTATAAAAAAACTTTAAAATTAGTTTTAAGCATTTATCATATATTGAGTTTTGCGTAAGAGGTTGAATTAAATATATATAAAAAATTATTATTTCGAAAGCAAATAGACGAAATACTGAGTAAAGTAAAATTTAATTTTTATAGAATTTTATGCGATACGTTTAAGCATGCAAGACTGAAATTAGTAATTTATTGAGTGAAGTTATAAAATCGAAAAAATAAAAATAATTTTATTTTAATTTTATTTTAATGTATAACAACACAAAATATATTTTTTAGATAAAATGTATTAGTAAATTAATCAGTTTATGTGTAATATTTAAGGACTTTCACATATATTAGTTATTCTTGCATCATACAAAAATACACTAAAAATCATTTAAATAAGAAAAAAATATTATTTACGAGACGATTAAATTATTTCGATTCATATATAAACCACATTTATAAGAAAATTAAAACTTAATTATATAATAAAGTTATTTAATAAAGTTACGGAGTTATTTTTTGAGTACTTAGTTTTTTGAGAGGCATAGGAAGCAATAGAATATATGGACGACATGAGGGACGTTATCGTACCTGATTTGTTTCAAGAACGGCTGGGTGTACTTGTTGGAGCTACTCGTAAAGTTCGACGACCAAGTACCGTTCGCTACAACCAAGAGGGATTTGGGTACAATCCCAGGCTACACCCACAACAACACCTACTTTGTCATTGTCTACCGCATGTACCTCGTAAGTTAAACATATCAAGTACCTATGTTTTAAGGAATCTAAGTGAACTGCAAGATCTTTCCTTAAAGACTACGTAGAGTGTTATTGAATCTTTCGAATTGTTTTTGATTTCTACAGTAGCACAATGACTCACCAATGCTAAAAATTAGATCTCATAAAACATCGTAATATCTGAAGCTGTTCTAATTTTTGTTAGATGTGATTATTATTAATTAATTGTTTTTAATCTGTAAAATAACTAGCATTTATTAAACCTTCAAAGAACAGTATCATTAGGAATTAAAAAAGCTAGAACAATATTTAAAACATTTATAATATTTTAGCGTTCACAAAATAATAATAGCAAAAAATGTTAATATCACAATCTAAGAAGTGAAAAACAAGAATTAATGAAGCAATATAGTTACGTTCATATCTCGAGAAAATAAAGGTGATGGCAAAAGAACCAGGTAAATTGCATTCAAGATTCAAATAAATACTACATTATAGACCTACACAAGCACTGCAACTAGAATAGATAGATCTATTGTACATTATTTTACGTTTTGACCTTTCATTTTCTATCCGTTTACAAATCTTAGTGCAGATTAAGATTTGTTATTCGAGGGTTTATCTATATAAACCCTCGAATACGTTGCATATAGATGCATAAGGACGTAGCCAACCAAATAATCGTAGAACACCAAATTAGACGTAGGTTTCAATATTAATTAAAAAATGTAAAGCTTTAAAAGCAACAATAAATGTCGTAATCAACGATCGTTTCATCGCTATAAAGCAAAATTCTCACAGTAATTAACTAATTTTAAATATAAATTGGTCAATTCTAAGTAAATTATCTGACGTTTAATATATAATGATGGTAATCTTAAAATCATTACTTACTATCTCTACAATTTTAGTTGCGTTGAAGAAATTGTGTGTAGAGTTAGACTTTACAGTTTAAGTTTACTGGAAAACATTTGAATTCAGCGCAATTGTTAAAGCCAATAAATGTACAGTAACAACAATGCCAGCGAATAATTTAAATCCAAAAAAAGCGAGAACCAAACGAAATCAATGAAATCGTATGATACTTAACTCGCATCTATTCCGGAGTATTGAAAAATCAGATTACAAATCAAAAAGAATTGCGCTAACAAATTGGTTTGTGTAGTTCCTCTTAAACTGTTAATTAGGCGCTTTAATTATAAGTGTCTCAAGCGATGTTACAGAGAAATGTGATTTCATAAAAATTATTAACTTAAAAAATTAATACATTTAGTGCACTTCTTCTCAAACTGTAACAGTTTACATGAATATATATTTTGTTTCATAATTAAAGGTAATTTAATAACTTTTATTGAATTTATATTTATATTGTTCAATTCTGTATATATATCATTAAATTTGAAACTTGTCGTCATTTAAGCCTTACGTGAGAAATGTTTAAAATTTGTCTATAATAAAAAAAATTAAATTTTTTTGTAGAGCACTCTCGCTCATCCTTTTTCTTTAGTGATTGTGTCTTCAAAATATGTTTTTTCTATTAACAGTTTGAAGTTCATTGTCTCCAAACAAACAGTTGAACAATGTTTGTTGTGAATTGTTCGAAGTTAGCTTCCACAAAACTGTTATACAAATAATAAAAGACATTATTATTAAAACACCTAAAATACAAATTCGATTGTAAAAATACAATTTAAAATAATAATTTAATTACTGTTTTTATCGAAAGAAGTATACAAGTGCTAAATTTATTAGGAATTATTAGTAAATTGAAAAATAATTCAATTTTCTATTCCAAATTGAAAATAATGCGGTATGGGCTGTTGAACTATTTTACAGATGATCTGTTGTTCCTTTTGATGTAGATTGATGTATGATAAGTGTATTCGATAAATCCATATTCGGTTGACTTTGAAGCGAATGGAATAAACATTTGAAACTAAATAAACAATTTTTGGGAAAAACTAAACGTTATTCATTTTTTTTAATTACACTTCGTCCGAAGGCTCTTCAAAGTGCCATGGTACATCCGCACGAATGACATGCTAAGAGACCTTAGAAGAGACCTCCGGTCAAAAAATACATAAGGGACTGAGCTCTGAAGCTATATGCGAAAACCAACAGGCTGCCCTACTTAGCACTATCTAATCTCAGATTAATCACTAACTTAAAGTACTTATTCTCTGGTGCTAATAGTTACGTTCAAGATTAAAGAAAATATATTTCACTATGAAGTAAAGCAGAAGCTTGAAGGATAATTGCGTTTTTGCCAGGAATTTTTGATAATTAAACGGTGGTCCAGAAAATCTAGGTCCGGTTTCTTCTTCTTTAAGATAAGAAGAAGTCGGACCATACCAATTTTTTTTGAACTATCAATCACTTGTGTTTAATTTAATTTTGAATCTTTTTATGAAACTGAACTTTAAATTTCTGACGCTTTTAAATTTAAGAAAGTTGCTTTGCAACTGCATAAATCTTTTTACGATTTGTACTATCTTTAGTCATCGTTAGAATAATGCTCTTCGCTTGTGGCTGAATTTGAATATGAAAATTTATTCAAATTTTAAATATTTCAATATTATTTACTTATTTGACCTTAACAACCCGTTACCGGGTTTCCGCCTAACGCAGCATGACTTTCCAGGCACCTCTGGTTGGGCGCCTTCTCCAGTTTCGTCCGGTTAGTACTTCTTCGACTTCATCACTACATTGGAGACACGATGGAGTGTCTCTTTCACCCTTTACCCCTCCAACTACAGCTTCAGATAATTTTTTCGCTGGAGCATCTTTATCCATTCTCACTATATTTCAATCATTTCTATTATCTTTTCATACATTCTTTTTTTCACAAGAATAATTTTGTTGCATGATTTTCAATTATATTTTTAGTTTTTTTACATAATGGATTGCTTTATACTACAGCAATTATTCAGTTTTGCAAAATAAATTAGAGTTTGTTTTTTAATCTGAAAGACATATATTACCCTCGTACTTTCCATGACTACCTTCACAATTACTAATCGATTTTAAAACAATTTATCTGATATACCATTTAGAATCGAAAGGTCATAAAATAATTTTGCAAGAATTTGCATAATTGAAATTACTTGCAAATTGGTTTTATCCTCGATTTTATTGAAGATAACTCTGCCGTTAAGTGTGCTGCCGTTATCTCACATCTAAAAGGATATCAATTTTTGCATATTCAAAGTAGATAAAGAACTTAAAATATTTAATGAGAAGTAAAGTTGAATGGCTAATTTTTTTAGATTACCATCATTTACAGGGTCAATTTATATTCCAACAAAGATAAACGGTAAATTTTTGATTTTCACATACTCAGTAGATATGAACAAATTTTGCAAGGACTAAATGCCAATAATAATTAAAATTGCTCAATGATATCTGATATTTTATTGATCATTTTGCGAAATTGTTTTATCAAAATTTTGCATTCAATGTTTTGGAAAAAGGTTTGAAGTTAGAAGTGAAAGCTGGAGCCAACCCTTTGCATAATAACATCATCATTCGATCGAAAGGATATCGAATTTTATTGCCTCATTGATAACGTCAAAGTAGCGAATAAATATAAATTTTAGTTCATTGTGATCATACAGCAGCCCACAGGGAGTTATCAAAACAATTTCTTAAGAATATATAAATGTTAAGTTATGATCTCGGAAGCTTTGTTCTAAAGGCTATGAAAGGATATGAGAATGTAACATTTTGTAAATTTTGTTATTTAAGACGATTCACAATTTTTATTGAGCAACTGTCAAATGCATCAATTAGTGCAAAATCCTTTCTTCATAATTTCTCCTTTTTATTCATACATATGTACTGTCAAAATTTTGTGCAATGAGGCGAGCAATTTTTGTGTCTGACTGTTCCTTTTGTTGCTTGGCATTCAATGATAGCCTCTCCGTTCAACTGTATGTCCTTCCGACTGCCTAAGTTTCTGCTTGGATCTATGAGTTTTCCATTTCTACATTTCGGTATTGATGAGTTGTTGATGGGTGTACGTAGTTTGCTCGTGCCCTTCGGTTTTTTCGCATAAGTGTGAGAACTTGATAGACTTGTCACAGCTGATGTGCACTGCACAACGAACCATTTGCCATGCCTTCTAAGGGAGGATTTTATAATAAGTTAAATTTTATCTTCTTATTTTCTTTAGTTGTGGTATTGCAAAATCCTCAACAATTTTTTTTTTTTTTTGCATCATAAAATTGCATAAATGTCAAGAGAATGTCACGACAACATCTCGTAAACGCCCCATAATTTTTGTTATTAATGAAGTTTTCAGCATCTTAAACTCTTTCGTCCAGAAAAGGATATTTCTTTTAGAATAACTATTAACGATTTTTAGATTCTTTTGTTCCGATTAATCGATGTGAATATTAAAGAAATTTTAATGGCTTAAGTAAAATGGTTTTGTACATGAAATTATTATAAAAAGGATAAGTGAATGCTCTTTTGTAGTTCATGGGTGCATTTAAAATTATTCAGAATAATACACACTCGCGTATGAATATATCAAAATGAAGAACCATTTGGAATATTTTTTCCTTGTAAACTAAGAAAAACTTTACAAAAATATCGGTAAATGTGAATTTTTTCATATAAAGTAACTACTAAGTAAAGGAGGCCAAGGTTAACACTGGACTTTAGTGCCTTGAACTCTTGAAAACATGGAATAGTTTTTACTTCAAATAAAAAGAAAAAATTTTT